GGGGTAAGAGGTGGTTGTTTCTCACTTTCAGTAGAAGTTTTTATTGTTCCGTGCCGATCAGGTCTGTTTCTATTCAGTGGCTTTAATCAACACAGTTATAAGACATAGAAACAACAACACGACCCTATAGATTACAACACATTAGGAACATCACGAACAACAAAAAAGGACACCCTTAGCTCACTACTAGATCTACCTAGGATTACACATCACAAGCCTAACACCGATAGACAACACAGCCCCACACTTTTTCGGACGACAACCTTCATTCTACAAAACATGCCTTCGAGTATACAAACAAAACGCCAAATTACTCACTCTCACGCGCACAACGGAAAACATACAGCGCTAGTAAAACTACAAACAACACCATTATACGATCAAATTAAAAGAAGTAGATATACGCAATCATAGACTTTTCGGGAAACATTTGAAAATGTGCACATTAAAGACACAATACCCTTCCAAAAACAGATAATGTATAGGATACTTTACAACAACAGCCTCACAACAGAAGCAAAGATCCACAGAAGAGTTAGGTGTAAAATATGTAGTCATGTAGACAAAACAAACGAGAAACAGAAGAACATATACATGTATTCTACACATGCCCGCACATCCAACAGACCAAACACGCACTAGCAAAATTACTCAGCGCAAATTCAGACATACAATACAGGTAGACATGTACAAAGCAATCTTTTTAAACATAGATCTACTCCCACCACGAACAACAGACACCTACAACATAAGGCTCCAAATCCTAGCAGCGTATAGAAAAATCATTCGGCATGTCAGATTGATTACAAACAACTTGTAACGACAGAACCCACACATCTAACACTATTTCAGAACATATTCAACTGAAAATTACATACGCATTTATTAATACAGAAACAAAATGGGCAGTCTTTGAAAGATATTTGAACTGTGGCGAGAGTCCGTGAGTAAATGGTTTTTAGTTTTAGTAGAGGTTTTACGGCGCTCGCAACTGCATAAGGTAATATGAGCGCCAGAAGATTAGAGGTGTTACAAGATAGTAACAAACATAACAGAAGAAGGGGAGCTAAGGGCGATAGATGTTTGATAGGAAAGAAGAAGCAAACCACACCAGAGCACCCACCAACCACCCACATAAATGGTTTGAAAGCAAGCTAAACAACGAAGACGGAAACCGGACGGACGGATCGTGTTAGACAAGACGAGACTGCTCTGTGAGCACAGTAACAACGACTCGACAACCCATGGGTCGAAAGGCGACGTGTGGAAGAGAACACAGCTCAAGCGTGAACGAAATAAAATGAATTTTTAAATAGAGTGCAGTTGTATATGAAATGCAAATGACCGAATGAGAAATATATGTGTGTGCGAGTGGGGGGAGGGGAGTGGGGGGAGGGGATATCAGCATGTTTTATGGTCTTCTTCTCCTTCTTCTCTTTCTTCTTAAAGCAAAGATATGAACGACGGAGTAAAAAAATGTATATTGAAGTATACTGAAAAAGCAAAGGGATATAGAAGGAATGAATAAACCGACAGAAGCAACAACGACAACAAGAACGACAACAATAACAACATCAACAACAACAACAACAACAACAATACTACTACTACTACCACCACTACTACTACTACTACTAATAATAATAA